AATAACAAAGAAAGAAATAAAGGACAAACACAAAAATTTATTTTAATTTTATTGAAGTTTGGCTGACCATACAACGCTGCTTCGAGTATTGCCAAGTACTCTTCATCAGTGGTCTTTCGAAATAATCGAATTTTATTTAATTAGTTTATAGTCCGTATATAATTTGTTTGGACTGCAAGTGCCAGGCTTAGAACTCGTGCCTGTCAAATTAGAAGCGATGACTAATCGTGTTTATCCACAACAAGCCAAGGCTGCACAAACTTTCAATGCTCAAATTCCAGGTTTTTTATTGTCACTTATTTTTATTTAATTAGTGACACTAACCAAAGCACTTGCCGTGCTTTAAAATAGAACGAGCTTATAAACTACAGCTTTATTTTGGAAACACAAGTTCAACGAATTAAAAGTTAACTTTTGAGTTCGCCTATTCTTTATTTTTTTCAAAGCTACTCTTTTTGTAGAGACATTTTGTAATGCATATTGTTTTACTTACTATATGTAAAGCGACCATTCTGGTGCTTTTACAAAGAAGCTATGCTATGTTATTCTACAAATCCGCTTTCGCGGTTAGGAAAAGCTGAACAATATTATATTTTAACATATTGTTCTTTACTTTTCACAAGTCTAATATTTGAATAAAGTATTCGTGTTGCTGTAAAGCACTTTGGCAAGTGCTTTGGTTGGTGTCACTAATTAAATAAAAATAAGTGACAATAAAACCTGGAACTTGAGCATTGAAAGTTTGTGCAGCCTTGGCTTCTTGTGGATAAACACGATTAGTCATCGCTTTTAATTTGACAGGCATGAGTTCTAAGCCTGGCACTTGCAGTCAAAACAAATTATATACGGACTATAAACTAATTAAACAAAATTCGATTATTTCGAAAGACCACTGATGAAGAGTACTTAGCAATACTCGAAACAGCGTTGTATGGTCAGCCAAACTTCAATAAAATTAAAATAAATTTTTGTGTTTGTCCTTTATTTCTTTCTTTGCTATTCAAAACCCCTCTAAATTTTAATAAAGCTTCTTTGTCACTATACAAAGGAAGTCTAGCTTTACAGCAACACGAATACTTTATTTATATAATTAATATAGAATTGGAAATTAACATGAAAATGAAGAATGAATAAAAAGCAATGTTAAGAATGCTAGAAATTTTGCATTTTGAGTAAAAGTGTATAGTCATGTAGTTCTAAAAAAGCAAGACACCATAAAATCACAAATAACATAAGTTCGATACATTTAGCACGTCAAGAAATACAATGCAATTGCTGATTGTTTCTATCATCAGCTGATATCAAATTTATCCTATGTATACGTCAAGAAACAAAAATTTAATTGATTCACACTCTTCTTTTTTTTTATTTCAGCTGTTTTCTTACGGCACAACTAATTCAGTCTTAACTGAGATTTGAAATACCTGTTATAGGAACCAACCACTAATATGAAGCAATGATCGAAAACAATACATACTCTTTAAACAATACTAATTCTTTAAGTTCTATTTTTATTTATAAAAGAGTTATTTTCAGAAAATTTAAAAATTAATTAACATATTTTAATTCTTCGGAAAGTCTGCAAAAATAAAATTAAACCTTGCGTATGTTGTTAATGCTGGGGTTAATGACATATAAGTGTCTATGCACTGCTTTTTGTATATCTAACTACAAACCCACTTGGAACTGCTATTGCAGTTGATGGTGTTAAAGCTCATTATGTTGTTGTTGATGTTGACAATCATGTGATTGCAACAAATGCAGGCAGCAGTCTGCACATAATAAATTTCGTTAAGACTTACTAGC